GGTTCTTAAGCAAAAATACTTTCCTATTGTCTCTTTGTTTGAGTATCAAAAGAAGCAGGGAGTCTCATGGCTATGGAGTTCTTGGTCTTCTTTAATTTATATTCTGAAAGAAGAAGTGCAGACTACAATTAGAAATGGAGTTGATACCTTTATTTCTGACTTTAATTGGGTTCCTGATATCCTAGGGGGACAGCCAAGACTGAGACTGCAGGATGTGAACATAGGTATTAAGGTGAAAGATTTAATATGCAATGGGGGAAGAAATTGGGATGTTCAGCTGGTAAATATCCTATTCACTGCAGAAGATGTTGAAAAATTTCTGAAAATCAACACTCTTAATCCTCTATTACCAGACAGAAGGAAGTGTGCCTTTATTGCCAATGGTAAGATGTCTGTCAAAAGTCTTTACTCTCAATTAATTGTTGAAAAAGTGATTAATTTTGCTGAAGCTGAGAGTAGTAAGTTAGCTAAATTAAATAAGATAGCTTGCATGAGATGCTGGAAATTGAGTGTTATGGGAAAAGTGAAGCAGTTTATGTGGAAATGCATTTCAAATATTTTGCCGGTAGGAGCTAATGTTAAAAAGAAAGGCATCAGCATTGATACTATTTGCAAAATTTGTGGGGAAACAGAGGAAACCCAAGAACATATATATTTTCAATTCCCAAAAGCAAAAAGGACTTGAAAACTGGCACTAGTTCAATGGGATTTTGCAAAATCAGAGCATCTTTCAGTCAAGGAATGGTGGTGGAGCCTCTGCACAATGGACTATAAAGCCACATCTGTAGATAGAATCCAACTCTCGACTTATATATTGTGGTGGTTATGGAAGGGGCGCAATTTATGGGTCTTTGAAGAAGTGTGGAAGCAGGAGCAAGTGATTGTTCAAGCAACTTGGCAGGACTTTCTAATGAGCAAAGCATAAACGGACAAGGAGGAAGATAAGAGAATATTAGGTCTTGTGTCAGTGATATTTTCTTGACCTGTTTCCTTTGTCTCGATTCTGTTCTAGGTTTGATTGTTTGTCTGGTCCTGTTGATAGACTAAGTTCGCTTTCCCGTGTTCATAGGCATTGGCTTTTGGGAGTTGGAGGTTTCAACCAGGTTTAGGTTGCCTTTGATCTTATTGATTTGTTCTTAGATTGTTAGTTTGTGTATTTAGACATATATGTTGCAGCTCTCTCAGGTGTCGAGGCTGTCCTCGTTTGTAATCCCGAACTTGCTCCGGCCTTTGGCCGATGTTTAATCGAGTATTTATATCGTTTGAAAAAAAAACACACAAATTTTGATGTGACCCGGTCTCAGCATTAGGTAGGCCGACTCATAATATATTTTGTAATAAAATTTATATATAATTATATTTAAATTATATATTATAAAATAGCATATTTTTTATTTATATTATTTTTAGTGAATAATTATTGAAGAATTTGATATAAGGGATGCTGATCCTCATGAATACAGATCACAACTTCATAATCGCATCCAATAATCCCCCCTATATATTAATACAGAATGCGCTGAGCCTACGTGGCTGCTTCTGGTGCTTCAGAATCCTATGTGGCAAAATTACATGCTTCGTTATTAGGCTTGGGTAAATTT